CGTTTTTATATAATAAATTGTATTATTTTAATACTTTATTATTTTTTAAAATCTTTATTCATATCTTTTTTTTGTTTTAAATTAAGAATACTTAGTCAAATCATTCTTAACCGGATAAACAAAATAATTATCTACATGATTGAGATCTTTATTGCAGAAATTTATTGCATGTCACTCTGATGTGATATGACAATTTTGCAGGAAGTATTAGCTGAAATATAATACATGAGATTCTTGAAAATCTCAAAACGAATAAAAAAAATATTCTAATGAGTATAATATAGACTCATACCGGAATAATTAGAATTCCGCGATTTAAATTAAATAATACATAATATAATTATATCAATCTCTCAATTTAATGTAAATTAAAAAATTGCTTAAATAAAAATATCGATCAAATATAGTATATGGTATATGCATATGTATATGCATATATTATATATATTTTACATACACATACACATACAAAATTTATTTAACACGACGTAATTGCACAAATCTATAGGAGTATAGTATTCAAACTTTTAAAATGCCAATGCGTTCTAAAACTCATCAGGAATTAAGGAGTGTTTTGTTTGAAAGGGCTTATTTATACTCTACTACGTATATTTAATAAGAATACAAAATTCTATTTGCTTTATGTGTAGATTTAAAAAATTTAATTCTCAAGTTAATTATATATTAATCCGCAAATTATATATTTAATTATAAATTATTATTCCCGATTTATCCTCATTCTATTATAAAAGGGAAGAATGTTGAAGAGAATCGGATTAAAGTAGTTATAGGAGGTAGAGGAAGACTTTTTCCAACACCGCTAGAAGAAAAACGCTCCAATGTTGGCATCATTGGCAACAAGTCGAGCTTATTTTAGAACACGAGAAAACGCAACGTACAACCGAATCGCGAACATTTCGTATAGAACGTATATAGTGCGCAAACTGGATCTGACGGTTCCTCGTGGTAATCGTTGTGCCAGGAAATCCGATCGAGCGGAACGATTTACAGGATATTTATGTGAGAACGTAGACGAGCGAAGATGGTGTCGGTGATGCAGCCGTACATGGTGAGTTCGATGTTCGATTAGATTCGTACGCGACCTTCGGTAAAGGGCCGTTTGACGCATCGATAGAGCTCATGAATCCCACCGTTGCTAGTAACGCCAAAAATTACATCACTGTTTTCTCACGGTCTTGCAGGACATCGAGAGTTCCAGGAGCTACATCGATGAGCTGTACTCTCCAGACGCGCAGAAATGCCTGGAAGCGATTATGTGAGTGTTAAAAAAATTATTCTTAACCTTAAGGATAATACTCCATATGACTGAAAAGGTTTATTTTTTATTGCTACATTCGACTGCATTGCATCTTTCTTTCTCGCTTTTATCAAATATCAAACATATATCTATTTCACTTTAAGAGTGTACACTAGTTTGGCTATAAAAAAATAGATTTAAAGTTTCCAACGACGAAGTTTTCTCTACTTATGTTTATTTCTACTAATGTAAATTAATTAAAATTTTAATCTCGGTTTATAAGTCACTTCCTCTAGTCATCTTCTTCCAGTTCTAAAAATTAGAAAAAGATAAACAGTACATTAAAACCAAAATAATAATTAATCTACATTGGTAGAAATGGGCTTTATATGTTTACTTTTTTATTGATAAAAAACTGTATGTTTCATGGATCTGATTTTTCTCAGATGTCTCAAGAATTCAGTGATTGGAAGCAACAGACAAAAGGGTTCAGTTATAGCTCAAGGTGTGGTGCCTCGCCTCTTGCAATTGCTCGGCGATACGTCCGGTACCATCGGCGATCGTATAAGATTAGAATCGGCTGTAACATTGGGTTCCTTAGCCAAGGGCACGGATCAGCATGTACTGGCGCTTATAGATTTAGGTGTAGTTCCACTGCTTCTACAAGTCTTGATCTCCTCCCCAACTCCTGACATTGTCGCAGACAGCAAGATAAAGGTTCTAGATCTGTTGCACGAGGCCTGTTTGCGATGTCTGCGCACAGTATTCCAGCATACAGCAGCGCCAGTCCACTCGATTTATCAGGATCCCGCGTTAGTACCACGGTTGTTGTCTCTAGCAAGTCGGTCGGTTACCTGTCAAGTCTGTGTCGCGACAATTTTAACTACGGCATGTAAGGTAAAGAGAGGTCTGAAACTCTAATAAAAATATATAAAATATATCTGTGCCATAAGAAGGAACTAATCTGCAAATTGTTTGTTAGACGACAGAGGAACAGAACGCTTTGTCCAAAGGCGGTGCGGTAGAAACACTAGCGATGCAACTGGATTCCCCCTTGTCTGATGTTCAACTACCAGCTCTAGCCTGCTTAGCGAATATGTGTTACCAGAATCACATGGTGTCGGCTATGGTAGCATCAGCCAGCACTAGTAATACTGTCCACGGTAGATTGGTACCTGTCGCATTAGGTCAATTAATGGGACGTGAGAAGAGTTCATTGATACAGCTCGAAGCAGCGAGATGTATCGCGTATATGCACAGGGCCGGGGCGTTGCCGTCCACCGATCCGCGAGTAGTGTATCGTACGTTACCCTGCCTCGTACGTTTATGTCATCGAGACCGACCGCCACGCGAGAGAGTCGCCGCGGCCGAGACACTTGCGTATCTGACCGAAGTTGATACAGATCTACAGCGTTTAGCTTCCATTAGTAATCACTTGATACCGACACTGGCGGAATTGCTAAGACCACATCCGCAAGTAAGCACAAGTTACATTAAATATATTGAATATCTACAAAGTATAGTAAAATTGATTTAAAAAATACTCCATTAGAGGTTGTATTAAGATAGTGTTTAAATAAAAGTTGTACGTTAAATACTTTTTGTTGAGGTCCAAGATGCAACACTAACGCAAGATATGCGACAAGCTGCGTTCAGGGCATTTGCGTCTCTCGGAGCAAATGACGAAGATATCCGAAAGCGTATTATTGAAACAGAAAGTCTTATGGAACAAGTTGTCTCTGGTCTTCAAGATCCTGGTGGATCCCGTGTTCGTTTAGCCGCGGTTAGATGTTTGCATTCCCTTTCGAGGAGTGTGCAACAGCTTCGTACTACATTTCAGGATCATGCAGTGTGGAGGCCACTTATGCAGTTGTTACATGGAGCGGACAAGGGGTTGGAGGGTAAAATATGATAATACATTTACAATGAGCATTACAGAGATACGCTACAATAAACACTGAGAAACGTGTATGTTGCATGCATATATATTGCATGTAAGATACAAAAAATAATACATATATTTAGCTTAAAATTTCGAATTAACGTTTTAATCAAAAACAAAAAGATGCAATATCGAAAAGAAGGTTATTAATGTACAATGTGAGTTATTCTTTTTTTATTCTATATAAGACAAGAATAGATTTGTAGCTCAATTAAAGTGCACGCATCAAGAAAAGTTCGCAATCTTTTACGCTTGTGTTGGCCATAGTATGTCGTAAGAAAGATATTTACAATAGATATAATATAAATTATACATAAACATGAATTTAAAATAGGGCGACTGTTTTCTCATGCGTGTAAATAGAAATGATAAATACATCCCTATTCTTTTCTCTCTGCATTGTAAGATTATTTTTCAAAAAAAAAAAAAAAGAACAAGAATAAAGAGATCAGTGCTTGTAATTAATTGTTATTATTAGTATTCAATCGCCAACTATATGAGTTACTATTAACATTGTCATTATTGTACTATAGGTAGAGGCGAAGGTGAAGGTGATTTATTAACTGTTGCCTCGAGTACTTTATGTAATTTACTGTTGGAGTTTAGTCCGAGCAAAGAGCCAATTCTTGAGTCTGGCGGAGTAGAGTTATTGTGTTCTCTCACTAAACGGCCCGAATCGGCACTCCGACTGAACGGCATTTGGGCCCTAATGAACGTGGCCTTTCAAGCGGAGCAACGTGTAAAATCGCAAATACTCTCGTGCTTGGGCACAGATCAGATCTTTCGTCTCTTGGCCGATCCTGAGTTAGGTGTCCTGATGAAAACGCTGGGTCTGTTACGAAATTTGCTTTCCACTAAAGCTCATATAGATCGTATAATGGGCGAGCATGCCACGCATGTTATGCAAGCGGTCATTCTAGTATTGGAAGACCCAGAACATCCGGCGGACGTTAAAGAGCAAGCACTTTGCATTTTAGCAAATGTAGCTGATGGCGATCGAGCTAGAGATCATATCATGGCTAATGACGACGTGCTTAAGAAACTCATGGATTATATGGTTCGTATAGTGTACATTTATAACAAGTATTTCATTAATTGAGTATTTCTAAACGATTAATTTTATTAATAGATAGGATAATAAAAAATCTTTGAAGATGTTGAAAAAGCAAGTCGCGTTACTTGTACTTATTTTATCTACGATAGTAAAAAATAACAGCTTTGAATACCATAAGTTTCAAATGTGTTAATTAAATTA